CAAGGGAAATCTCAAACAATTTCCTGATTACATTTTCTGTCTTTTAAATTGGATGGCATTTACCAAGCATTGCAAGTAGTCTTGTCACAAAAGAAAATAAAAAATAAAGCTCATACTTGGTTAGGTTAGAGTGACATATATGCAGACTATTCACTGAAGTAAGGGGGTGGGGGTTGAAGGGCCCTTAAAATAAATTGTATATAGTATCACAGACAATCCTCAGGTTCCAATTTCTGGTAAACACTGCGTTTTCATCTCAGTAAATGCCAACAATTGATGAACCCTGTTGCCACTGTTAAATGATCAAGCATGTGCTTGTAATGCATATTATTGATTTTACATTTCATGAGTCCATCTATATCCAACCACCATACCATGCCTGTAATGTAATACTAGTATTTCTCTGTTTAATACCAGTTGAGAATAGTTCATTTCCAAGCTGTTTTTGTCCTCGTCTTCCATAGGATTGATTTTCTAAATCTTGAAGGCTTTTTCCAATGATTGCCATAGGATATTTTACTCTTGATCTTTTTTCCTTGAGATCCTGTATGATATATTCTCTGACTCCTATAGGAACTATGATCTGAAAATACTATTGGAACTTATTTTCCATGAATCCAGTAGTATTCAATTGGCTTGGATTCATTATCCTTCTTTCTTATAGGATCTTTTATCCTCGTGTCCACATGACTTTTTGTCAGACAAATATATTAAGTTCTTTTAATGTTCCCAGCAAGTTCATTCTTCAGGAGCCATTTCAGTAACCCCTCTATTCACAGGTGCTATGACGCTCTTGCTTGGACCATCTCACACCAGTGTCCCCAATCTGAAATTATGAAAAAAAATTGCCATTACTTATTGAATCTAAACAGAATCAATCAATAATATTCTCTAAAATAATGCGTGTTGAGTAACACATGAAATACTCATTTTCTTCAGAGTGACTTGGAATTTTTGTTAGACAAAATAAATTGGAACTGAAAAAGGCAAATCTTTGATAAGAAAAGTACTGGAATGACTGAAAAGTTTGAGAATATTTACTACCATAGTATCCTTTGAGAGAAAATGGTTTAAATACTGGAAAAATCTTAAGGATAAACAAGATGGGGTGGGGGAGGGGGGTTGGCAAGGGGAACAATAAAAAAAAAAACATAATTAGACAAATTATACAAGAACAAATAACTCACAATCTATGGCTGCATTCACAGCACTGAACTAGCTCGTCCACCGATCAAATATGGCCGACCCACTTAAATGCTTGTTGTGTAATCCCTGCAGGGAATCTATTCAGTGTCTTTAAGGGGATTAGATGGCAAGCCTTCAAGTGGGTTGCCATATTTGATCCTTGGACTAGTTAGTCCACTGTTGTGAATGTGGCTATATCTCACATTAAGAGGTTGGGTGACAGTGATGTGTCTGATACTGTCTAGCAAGGCATCGGTGTATTCCTTGGACATCACATGGGGTGGCGCATTCCTACTGGACCCAAACAGTTCACTTGGTCCTCGGCCACTCCTGGCGGGGATGAAGGCGTCGGTCTTGGGGTGGCTTAGGTGATCCCAGGCTGAGGTGATAAACTCTTCCTGTATAGAAAAAACAACAGGTGATATTATAATACACAAGGTGATTCTAATACCCTGAACTGAAAACAAAAAAGTGATATTATTATACACAGAGTAATTTGTATACCCAGAATAGAAAACAAAAGGTGCTTTTATTATACACAAGGTGATTCATGTAACCTTAATAAAACACAAACGATTAATTTGTTTATCTAGAAAAAAAAAGGGAATTTGCATAGCCTGAACACAACATAACAGAAAAATTTTTAATCATCCTATCTAGAGGCCATGGAAAGCCTCTTATCGCACCAAGTAATTAGTAAATAGGGATTTGTATAGCCCATATAAAAAACAACCAAGCAATTAGTTTATCTTTAATATAACAGAAAGAGGCAATTTGTATATCAAAAAGTGATGATAACTGTATGTCATTCCATTACTTTTAACATAACATATGATAACTGACCTCGACTGAGGGCCTGGTGACCTTTGACAGAACACATAACTATTTTGACTTAAGGGTCCATGACCTTTAACATGTTATAACTGACCTTCTTTGATGGGTTAATGACCAATGATATTGCATATAACTAACCTTGACTGAGGGGTCATTGACCTTTGACACCAGTTTGGCAAGATAGGCCTCGTCAGGGTGTACCAGTCTTGTCGGGTGCATGGCGTGGGGTTGTCTAAATGGAGGCTTTGACTTCAGAACATTTCTTGATGAGAACTTGCCAAATACACTGTTATACCTAAAATGGGAAAAAAAGAGGGACATTAACTAATGAAATGGTTGTTATTGGGGAGGGGGGAACTGGATAGGAAATTTTATTGCTACATTTGTGGATAACAGTGCAGCAGGCAATTTTCATTCACTTAGTGACAGGCAATTAATACATTTTCTATTCCAGGTTTATTTCATTACTCATAAAGATATTAACAGACACATCTGTACCCTAGAGAGAATAACTTGACTGTTGCACATACAAAGAAAACAACAAAATCAATAACACTGTTTAGGAATAAAACTCTATTACACCTTGTTTTTTTTATTTAAGATATGTTCAATTCTGGCCTCAAACCAATCACAATCAAAAAGCAAAAATATCAAAACAGTTCACATCAAAAAAGGCTTTCAGTTCAATTAGCATCTGTGAATTCTTTTTTTCCTTTTAATGTTATTGCATACACACATAACATAAACCATATCTCTATTCTACTAATTTACCTATCCACTTAGAGGCAGTACAGTATGGTAATCACTTGAAATTTTCACCTGCATCATAAGTCTAATAACAAAATTTTACTTTAAATTTTCAAAATTTTATCATTTTCAAACTGTCATAAAAATTTTGACTTTTCAAGACTTCAATCAATACTAAAAAGTGTTTCCAAGAAAGGAATTATTTAGGGTTAAATTATTATTTCTAGTTGTTTGAATCTATTCAGTAATTACCGTACTGTTCTGAAGCAAACCAAACAGACATGAGATTTACTTATAGGAAAAAAAATTCCAGAAAAGTCTAAAATATACAATATCCTGAGCAATTAGGGTATGTTGACTATGGAAGACCAAATATCAATTTCTTATAAATTATGAAAAACACTCATGCCTTTGAGACGTTATCAGTTACATTTAATGTCACATAATTGATACCAGTTTGGTAGTCTAGAGCTACAAAAACATGTTAAGATAAATCATTTGGTTAAAGACAGTTTTGGCCAGAGATGGCATGAAATGTTCATGCATAATCTTAAGCTGTTAGAATGATGAACTGTATATTTGCTGGAAGCATAAACCCCTGCAGATAAAGCGAAAACTATCAGAGTCAAAAAGGGGGCATTCAGAATCTTACTGACCAATACCAGTATTATTCTAACTGACAATAAACACCATGAGTCACAGAGTTTCCTGATATCTCACCTGTATTACCAGTATGCTTTGTCTCCTTTGTTATTTCATGGATTACCTAGGTCACACTCACAGCCAGTTGATTCATATACTAACAGATTGGTGGATCAAATATGACCGACCAACTCGAAAGCTTGCCACAAAATCCCCAAATGCATACTGAACAGATTCCCTGAGGGGATTATGCCACAAGCCTTCAAGTGGGTCAGCCATATTTGATTCACAAATATGTTAGTTCGTGGATCAACTTTACTTGTGAATGCGGCCCTAGAAAAAGGCTGAGGTATGCTGATAATGGAGGCAAATTTTCGGAAACCCTCCAAAACTCAGGGTGTTCCATGTACCAGATGACCAAATTATTAATATGGTGTTAGAGTTCTCATATGAGATGGGAATCCAATAGAAAGCTCTCTATAATCTGGTCACCTGGTGATGTCATTTAGACCATTACTGGTTTAGGTCAGTACCATGTACCCTGAGTTTCTCAGACTGGTGTGTTCTAGCTTTTTTATCTTCAAATATATAAACATGCCTACTCAAGTGGTAAATATCACATCCATACAGATATTTGCACATGAAGAAGCTTTTTTCACACCAGTTCATGGGAAATTTGGGGTACTTCCAAGCTGAATGCTTCTAAACTGAAAACCATAATATCATGTCCCCAATGGAGGTTCAAGACGGACTCCTCGACTCTACTCACCCAGCTGAGCCTATACTTGGTCCTTTGCAGCAAAAGTGAGATGAACAGATAGAATGTCAACTACTAACATGTACATTTTCTGAAATATCATTTGTTGGCACATGTGCCAAACTATCTGTCACCTCCACCTTTTATATTATTTTATTGAAAAACCAGCTTCAAATTTTTTTAATAATCAATCTCATACCTTTCTAATGTATTAAATTTACAAGGAGATTGATTCCTTTTTATACTGTTGGGTTATTAAAATGTTAATACAAACTTTCTTAAAATTAGAAATAACCAAGACAAACAGCTAAAGTCACATTCACAGCAGGATTAACTTGGTCTGGAGAACAAACTAAATGACATCACAAGGGATCTAGACTGTAATACGGAATATAAAATTCCACTGAGAGTGGATATATATATTTTTTAATCTTTAAAAGCATTACATCCTTGAAAGGATCCTCACAATTTTGTCTGTTAGAGTCCCCTTAAACCTAGTGATGTCAATCAGTTTATCCCTGGTTCAAATTAGTTCTGATATAAATGCACCCTCACACAACATGCAGTGAGATTATAATACATCAGTCAGTTAACACAATCCAAATTTCTTCATTATTTTAACTGTGCAAAACAGCACCACTCTGTGTCAAAGGTTAAGACAGTCTTCTCTGTCATCCTGAGAATATTTTGGCGAATAACAACCATCGTTTGGGTCTTCTCAAAGACAGTCAGAATTTTCAAATTTTCACTGAAGGGCATCTAATTTTTCAGTCGGGAGACAGTCAAAAATTGAGGATGAATAAAAAATAATTATGCAATTGGGAAGACTGTCAGAAAATATCTCCAGATCTGCCCCTGATTTTAAAATTTCTTGAAAGGTACTATTATATAGTAAAATGGATGATTTGCTTTTTTAAACTGACTTTAGAAGACTATCAGTCAGAATTTCTTTAGGTGACTGAGATACTGCACTAATATATCAATCAACCATGTAAATTAGTTAAGATATAAATATTATCAATTGAAGAACAGATGCCCTACAGTCTGTGATTTAAACTTTACAGCCCACTGGTCAATGAGACTAAAGTAGATTTCCAAAACTACAAGACTAGTGTGAATCAAAATTGCCAATGGCCATTTCAAAGATGATATCTAAAGATAACAGAAAATAATCTAAAACAAACATGACAATTTCCAATAGTTTGGTCACATAAGTACTGGTATTAACCTAAAAAATTAACAAGATTTTTCTAGTCTGGCACTAAATCTACTAGCTAGTCCTCAGGCCAATGGCTGACACCGCAGACTGCCTCTGTTCTTGGGAGTGTTCAGATAAATCCATCATATCAGCTGGTTCTATTGAACTCTGAGGGAGATTCTCCCGAAGTGCAATCACTGTAATCTGCTTAAATGTCTTACATGCCTCCGCGAGTTGCTTGGGGGTGATAAACAAGTGGACTACCTACTCAAGGAGGCATGTCAGACAATTAAGCCAATTACACCTAATGTACTTTAGTGGGATATTGAGAATCCCTCACACAGTTGGATCAATCCAACTGGCACAATGTTTGAATCTGCCCACTGTCTTTGACACTACTCACTTGGTAACCTGTGGATCCACATCGGTGATGAGCTGCTGGTGAGGCTGGTACACGGGGACGGGGATCAGAGGGGGTGGAGGGGTGGTACAGCGGTTGGTATAGGGGGTGGACAGGGCACTGAGGGGGAGGGGGGCAGCACTCCCTGCCCCTGGGGGGTTGTGATGGTCAGAATCAAACCCACTCAGAGAATCAGATTCACTACAACGAGAAAAGGGTAAAGACTGACATGTGATGGGTGACCAATAAGCAACCAAATGGTTATAATACATTGATATGAAGATATGATAAATAATAAATAAAACACAAAACTTGAAGAAGATGACGACAACCACAGCAGTGTTTGGCACCAATACTCAACAACATCTACTGCATTCACATCAGTGCTGACTTAAAACCGAAAGACTTTAAACCATTTGATGGCACCAAATAACCCACAAATTTTAACATTTTTGTTTGCATTGCTCGTTATATTAGTGTGACCTTGAAAGAAATATTAACCAAATCAACCAAGTAAATCTTGGCTGACGAGGCTCTGAAACAAAACACTGAGATACAAGGAGTTTCGACGAAAATTCTGTGTAGGTGGTACTAATGATCCAGATAAGTCCTATTCGGGTTTAAGGTAATCCCAATGTGAATGCAGCTAACAGGTTCTTACACAGCCTAAGGTGGTATGTTACCATGGTAAAGATACTCTATTACTGTGAAGATATCACGGATACGCAAGGACTCGCACTATCAACGTATGAGTCACTGTCACTAGCTTCACTGAATTGAAAAAATACAAGAACCACTTCACTCACTACAGAAACAACAATCGTATAACACATGTCAAGTGAAAAGTGCCACGGATATTCATTCTGCTCCTTTAATATATGATCCATCTTTAACAGTCCAATTAATAATTGACTGAGATGGCATTCAAACAGGTTGCTATAATTTGCATTGCGACTAATGAACAAGTACAGCCAGTTTTGCTTATTACTATCATAATCAGACTGTCATAGGAACAAAAAAGAAGTAACTTTTTTAAAAAATTTAATGTTTACTGTCTGATATACAATAATAAGAAATAAATAAAGTCAACTTGGTCAATCAATAACCATATCACAATAAGTTACATGTAGATTATACTGGCATACAAATAATACTATCTTACCTTGCTTCAAACTGCTTGATACCATTAGGAGAGACGGGTGACCCCACCGCCAAGAGACGGGGTGATAAATCTCCTGGGGAAAGACAAGCAAACATAGCTCCATTAATAATTGAACAGTAAAGGAGGCAAACATATCATGGTCACTGTGGTGCTGACCATACGGTGAAGCTGGTAAATATACAGATACCAAACACTTATTACATTCATCTGGTAAATGTACTGACACAAAAAAAAAGCAATATTGTTGAATCAGACAACAAAAATGGCAATGTACAGATATCGAAGAAAAATTATTGTACATACCAGATGGTTACAGTACAAAATGGCAAACAAACAGAAATTAAAAAAAATAATAATAATAAAAAATAAATAAATAGATAACAATAAAATTAAAAATAAATAAAAACATGTCTGTACAAAGGTAAATGTAAGTTTCAATACCTCCGTGATGGTAGTGCGTTTTGATTGGTCCCTCATACATTGCGCTGTGGAACGTCTGTCTTATGTCTTCCTGCGTCTGGTATTTTTGCATCTGCATAGTGTGGGTCAGCGCCATGTAACGCTTGTAACGAGCCTCTTCAGACAACTAAGAGCAGACCAATGAATGATTTTATCATGTGACATACTGCAAACCTTACTCCATATTCTACACATTCCAATTTGATAAACAATTCAAATTTAATTTGATTACATTTTGTCATAAACCCACTGACATACAGGGCAACAGTGAATTAATTCAATATGGCAGTCAACTATAATATGGCCTACTAAATAATTAAACCTAAACTCACGTAATAAGACTCCTTTTGTCTTTCTTCTTCCATTCGCTTCCTCATGTCTGACATGCGCTAAAATAAGTACGAGAATGATGTGAATGAAAAACATGGGTTGTCTCATGTAAAAACTAATAAAGAAATTGCAGTTTATATTTTGAAAAAAATTCTTAAGTTTATACTTATCCTTCCTTCACTCTTTTACCTTCTTCAGTGTCACTTTATTTCCTCACACAATTCTACATACACACATACCCCTCCCAACAATACAGATTTGAGCACAAGAAAAAAAAAATCATTCATTTCATGCTTGATCCCTGGAGTTTTTAATAGTCTGGGTTCCTCAAATTCCAATCCCTAGAATGCAAGCACAATTTCCCACACCACCATACACAAACATGCATGCATGCACAAACACACAGAAACAAGCATGCACGCACACGCACAATAATCTACCTTGGCGGCTCTTTCAGAGCACCTTTCTTGAGAGAAACACGGTATCCCTCCGTTACTCCTGCCCTCGTATCTGTTGATAAACAGAGGCCCTGACTTCACCTTGACTGGCCTGGCAGAGGAGGCGGAGGAGGGGGCCTGGAGGGGGTTGAGCTGGAACAGAAAAAACAGGTGTCTGGTGAAAAAATGGTATTCATGGCAATTATACAGAGATGAAACATATTACCTTTTAGAAAAATAAATTGTAACAAGAAAATTAAAACTTAAATTTTAGAATTAATATCACAATAATGACTGTCTGTTATTCTTTAAGCATATAGAGGTCGTGAATTTAAATAAACACCATCTGTTTGATAGCATTCTATTCTAATATTTCAATTAAATTTTCAAGCAGGTTTCATTTACATTTATATTCATATTAAAAAAGCTCCAATAAAAATATTTCAATTTGTAAATTGATAAAGAATGCAAGTATCATTATTAACAATCATATTCATCTGAATTAAATTATTAAACAATTTGTGCAAACTTCTACTATAAAACTGTGCTGAAATTAAAATTTCATATGCTGATAAAAATACTGTGAATTTGCTCATACAAAGATACACACTCATTCAACCAAAATTCATGCAAAAATCTTATGAAACAGTAAAAAAATCTGTGAAAAAGCAAAAGTCCTTAAATCTAAAAATCTTCAGACTTTGAGCATGTGCAAAAAGCAGATCTAAAAAATAATCACATAAATAACAGAACTACATTTAGGGGACTCCCAAAACAAAAACAATAAATTATAAATGAAAAATGAATATCAAACTGACACAGCTACAAATAATATATAAAAATAATAAAATACATATTTAATCTAAAAACATTATAATAATAACAATCAAAACAAGTGTTGAAAGGGCAATCTGTTGCAATCAAAAATTATAATTTAATGTTTATAAACAAAGACTTCAGATAAAAACTTACTAAAAATCAATAATAATAATATATCCTGAAAAAAAAATGGTCCCATTTTTTTGTAAATCGTATTTGAGAAGAGTTGGATCCATCTATCTACTGTTAACCAGTTCTCTACCAGCACTGAGAGACATCCTAGAACTCTTCAACCAAGCAGAAGCCATTTGGACATGTCACTTTCAGTCTCAAACCTAAAATGCAGCTTAATCCATCCCTGATACTGGAGTCCATGTCTTGACTGTGAATGACTGATTGCAATATAGTACACCACAGATATGTCTTGCCCCCATAATGCTTATAAGCAGCTCCAATTCTCTGCGGGAAACATATGCAATATAAGCTATATGCAATTCCAATTATGTATGGGAAACGTACTGCGTTATATGAGGTACAGGCAATTTCAATTCTGTACGGAGAACATGTATACAATATGAGCTACAAGCAATTCCAGTTCTAGATGAAGAACATATATTCATGTGAAATATCTTCTGCAAAATTCCATGGTTATAATTCACTGTCAGCACTGCTGCAACTATTTACTTCACCATCTCCAACCAGAAAGACTACTCTTGGTTTCACTGGTGCCCTGTTAGGTAGCTCATTCTTCTTTTTCTTTTCCTTTGAAGACCTACTGCTTTTAGATATATAAGGAGGAACCTTGGATACATCCAAGTTTGAATTGGATAAGTGCATATCTGGGCTTTCAGTACAAGCCGCTGCTCGTCTCAAGGCACACTCTTCTGCAAAAGACCCGCGTCTTCTTCCATCTTTCCACCTGAGGACACTACCATCCAAGACAGGCTTGCATGGAGGCACAGCAGAATCAAGAGATTTAGACTTGGTCTTGTCTTGTTTGAGAGAGGCCAGTTTGGGATGGATGCTAGCTGTTTCCCTTTGCATCTCCTGTAAATCAACACCTGTCAAAATGCTTGGTTCAGAGCTATGCCTGTGTAATTGATTTTTTACGCCACTTAAATCAACGGAAGAACGAGTTTTTATACTTTTACGATCAGAAGCACCTTCCTGTAACTTAGTTTTTGCAGCTGCAAAATGCTGAAAATTAAACCCTGGAGGCACACGCCAGGTTCCCCCGTTTCCTCTGTCTGGAAACATTGTGAAGACTTTCTGATGTAGCACAGAGAGGGAGGTATCAATGTTAGTAAATCTTGCGGCTGATGAAGACATGCGGTCTTGTTGCGCCATGTGGTCATATGCAAGCTGCAAGCCTACTATCTAAATGCAGAAAAGACAGAAAAAAGAAGGGTTTCTAAGTTAGTAACTGTTAAAACAATCAGCTAAACAAATCTAATGTAAATACTATAAAGCTCTTACATCATGTTTACAATATGTATATAAAGGCCAAGAAGATTTGGTGTGTGGTATTTTATTCCTTCTTACAACAACATGCATAGCTTTCAATGTACACTATCATGCTACATGCACAGATTAACTGAAAGAATTTCACTTCTTTAAGAGCATACACGCATGTAAGCCAATTAACTCAGCTTAATAGGAAAAAATCAATTTATAAAAAGCTTAAAAGAATGGGTCTGTTCATATGGTAAGAACATTGAACAGATGCTGCAATGTGGTACTGGAGTATGATGAAGCACCCTATATGCTATCAAACAGAGTCGCCTGATGACATCACTCAGACTATCACCAGTTCTAGTCGATAACCACATACAATTTCAGATAAAGCCACAGCATAGAAATGCACTTATAGCAATCTGGCCTCTGACTAGTGAAGTGCACCTAGTCAAAAAAAAAGTTTTCCTTTTCTTTTGTCAACATAGAATAATGGTTATTCTACCAAAATGCTAAGCATGCCATAATATGTTTGAGGAAAATACAAAATGTTTTATCTTTTTTTCTTTCTGCAAATAGATGAATGGTAATTTTAGCCAAATATTTACAGACTATAATGCAGCTTAGTGTAAAGTAAAACATTTCACCATTTTCTTTTACTTCAAAAATGATTTGACTAAAATTTGTCAGCCATTTGGCTGGAATAACATCCTAGATAGAGCCCAGATAAAGAGTAGCCAGCTGTATAAGAACGAGAAGCCAACTTGAAGGCAAAACTATATCATGGCTATACAGACCTTTCTTAATGCTGCCATGAATAAGTAATATTGGTGGAATATCTATGAGACATCTATGTACAGCAGAAAGGGTGGTTAAAAAAGAAGAGATGAAAAAACAAATCAGTCTTCAATCTAAACACTCAGATATTTGAATCTATAGATTTCTACAAGAAAAGTCTACAACTATTAGGAACAAAGATGTATTAAAGAATTAAAAGCAATACCTGGTCAGTAAAATGTTTCATATATTATGAATATATATCACTATAATATAATGCTTAAAAATGTCAGGTAAATTTAAAAAAACTGGTCATCCCCGTAAAAACAGTAAAAGCAATTTTATACTTGATCATAATTTGAGAATGACGAGGGGAAATGAAAAACCATCATTCTTAAAAAGTCAGATGTTATACAGAATTAAGGAATACAGAAACAAATCTCAAAGAAATCAGAAAAAAAATCTTCTGAATAAAAAAATGTTTCACTAAAAAGGGAAAGATAAAATCCACGTCTAGTTAAAATTCAAGTATCTCTTCAATGGACAGCTTGGACATCAAAAGATATAAAAATAGACACGTCTAACTTGCACCCATATTATAATCAACCTTCATTTTCACTTCTGAGTTTCCTTCAGCAGACTGCAGCCTCGGCTTTTGGGTTTCGTAAACAAACTTCTCATTCCCATGATTCACCTGGGGAATCTCCACCATATAACTGTGCCTCCACTGACGGTTCTCCTTTTTTGGAGATTTGAAAGCAACATCTTGTCGCGACAGGGCGAGGAAAGGTTTTGCAGGTGCTAAGGGTGGTGCAGGGGTTGATATTTCAGATCCAAGCGGTTTTAAAGCAGCGATCAGTTCCGAGCTTTCGCAGGCTTCTTGGGCGTAAAGTTCAAGGTCATCTTCACTGTCACATGACTCTACAGTGATTAGTGGGACAGTGATTGGTCGTGTGGGCTTTGCCGTAGGTTCAGAGTGACGACGAAGGTGCTAAGTGAATAACATCAGGTATATTGCAAATATCCAAAAGACAATATGATAATACCATCTGTATAGGAATGTGTACATCAAATGTTGTTCATATACATCAGTATATGTGTATAAATCAATATATGTGTCTATTTCACATTCACAGTAACTAGCATTCATTCAACCAGAAGCTATTTTCAACATATAACATCACTTTACATGATCAAAATCATAAATATTTTGCAAAGAACAATGATCATATTCAGACTTAAATATTCTATTAGCTAACTATATGACTTTTAACCAGCTGAAAAAATTAATCCAATCTTGTCCCCTTTCTGTTAAAGCAAGTGTCACTTGAAATAGCAAACACTGCACAATTTGTATTAATCAATTATTGGCTTTTCATTTAAAACATTCATCTAGCTTTTAGCTAAAATTATTACTATTTTTTTCAAATCAAAAACAAAAAAGTTATTCGCAGTATGCCAACAATGCCTCAATAAAACCATCAACAATTAGTTTCTTGTAATATTATGTCAATATTATGTAAGATGAAAATGAGATGAGTGCTTCAATGCATATTGACAACTTCACGTTAGAGCTTCATACATATTACATTAGCCTCTATGACATGCATTTCCACAAGGCAATACCATGCAGTTAGCGTATCATGCGCACTCATTAGCATACACAAACAGGCATGAATTGAAAACACGAGTTATACAGGCACGCATGCATGCACGCACAAGCATCCACCTTTCTGGACCGTTTAAGCTTATCATCCGCGGGTTCACCCGCCGCATTCAGCTCGTATTTCTTGCAAAGCGCAAACGGCAATACCTGCTTCTTGGAGCGTTTCACCTCGTCTGCACTGTTACGAGGCGTGTGAATAGCGGGAAGCGCCTACAAGAAAGGAGAAACAAAGGTGACATCTAGGGAGCGTTAAATGAATTAAGAGCTGGTAATCTGTATCTCCTTACTGAGCTCATTGTTCAATGTAGCATGGTTTTCTTTGGACACCAACTGACAATAAAATTGTTTTCAACTAAAATATAGTGCCTTTTTTGGTGAAATTGCTATGGATAGCATATATAGAAAAGAACACATATTAATTTGCGTGTTTTTCAGCAAAAGATATTTTTAAAAATCTTTATTTTAGTCAGTGCCAAAATTAAACCAAGGTAGTGTGAGCACAGTAATATCAACTTCAGACTATTAGATAGTAAGGTAGTTAATATTTCAATAATTTAAAAGATCAACTGGTAAGATCTAAAATGAAACAATTAGGTCTAAGAAATCCATTTAGTAAATGATATCAAACAAAGACTGCATTCAAATTATCTGTCTATAGAAAACAGCAGATGAAATTTCCATTCGTTCTACAATTATACACCTCTAACAGTGTACTATATAACTATAATAAATATACATAACAATCACAATGTTACTAAACAGTTTTAAGTTTGCGACATGTCAACTAGACACGTGTTACATATTCTAGTTACTGGTTATCATTTGCAGACAACATCCACAACAGCAAACTAACAGATTTACAGATCAAATATGGTGACCCACTCAAAACCTTGTTGCATAACCGTAATAGACACTGAACAGATTCCCTGTAGGGATAAAGTGACAAGCACTTAAGTGGGTTGGTCATATTTGATCTGAGGATCTGTTAGTCTGTTGTTGTGAATGCGGCCTTGGTTTTACTAGTAATAATCAAAGAAATAACTAATCAACTATCATGATACTGAATTTAATTCAACAGTTAGATCTAGCACACTAAAACCTGAACTGGTTATAAATAGTGACATTCACAACCAGAGCAATTCAGACCTGAAACTGCCCAAAGACAGCAGGTTTTAATTGAACTGATAGTGAACACGACTGCAAGATCTTACACCTGCCAGTGTAGAGATGGATGGAAATTGGAAATAACAAAATATTTATAAGCCTTTTCATTGATGAGTTGTTAACAACTAGGTATGAGATATTGACAATAGAATCCTGATCATGCTCAAGAGGAACTAGGGTAAATGCTATGACATGCTTTTAGGCTAACAAGAAAAGTGTCAAAGGAATTAATAGAGGAGAGTCTGCCTGAATCCATATCTTCATTCATTCCGTCATCCAAGAAATTCTTCAGAAATTGTTGAACAGTGTTCAAGTACTGCTCATTTCAACCTGCAAGGACAAAACATGGAAATGAATGTAATAATGACGTTTGTTTTTTCCCCAAAACTTACTGCACTCTTAGGCCTGTCAAACTCGACCACAGACTTTGTCTTCTTTCTGCTCTCGGGGATCACTTCAGGGGTGAGATTCTTGGGGCGGTGGAAACTTTCTTTTTGTTTCTTGGATTTCCTCTTTTTCTTCTTCTTCGGCTTGGGTTCTTTGACTGGTGGGACTTCAGGATCGTCCGACTCTGAATCACTATCACTGGACCTGTAGAAAAAATATAAGATATTGTGAGGCTGCATTCAAAACCAAAGTTGATCGATGAACTAAGAAATCCGCAGATCAAATATGGCTGACCTACTGGAAAACTAATCCCCATGGAAATCTATTCAGTGTCTATTAGGGGTTTATGTGCAGCAACTTGTTCTAAATGCCTAAAGTGTATGTGTACAGAGAGAGAGAGAGAGAGAGAGAGAGAGAGAGAGAGAGAGAAGAATCAACCCTTACTCTGATTCATTGACTAGCTCGTTGACCTTCAGCTGTTCCAATAAGTGGATACACCCATCTATTGTATCAGAGGTCATGTTCTCTATTAGCTCATCGACATTCATTTTAGCAACGTCTTTCTCATCTGTATCCCTCAGGTTGATGTCGCTTGGAAAGGCGGGTTTCTTGGATTTGGCACTCTGATCTGCCCTTTCCTCTTTGGTTATCATGGCAACTATAGCATCCGTGATTTTCTGGAAACCCTGTTTCTTAGCATCTGAATTTGAAGGAGATATATTATTATCATTATTATTATTTTTTTTTTTGACAAAAATTTCCTGATAAAAGTAAGCTAACGGTCTGAAAGTTTTTCGGCTTTTTTGGCTTTGATAATTATCATTTATGATCCAACTACCAAGCTAATGAACATTTTTGTTCCTCATAAATTTATATTTTTAATTAAATCCATGAAGAAAAATGTTTCTCAAATTAGTATGCCATGCTCAGTGTATTTGATTAAACCAAAACTTTTTTGAAGAAAAAAATCACCGATTGATATAAATTCAAAAATTAAAAAGAAAAATAACAAATATGTTAGTCTGGCAGATGTACCAAAAACTAAATCTGACCTATATATAAGAAATAAAAATGCTCCTTACAGCAAAAACTGTAATACTCACCCTCACCACTGCCGTTCTCAACCGCACCACCCCTTGGTGACAATAGAGGGAGCTGTTGTGGCAGCATGCCACGGCTCTCCAAGATCTGGTGAGTGAGTTCCCGCGTCAGCTCCAAGATAATCTCTGATTGCTTGCTGAAAATACAGGGAGAGTGGAGCATGTTAAGTGTAAGATGTCAGATGTGTTTAGTGTGATAATTATAAATGAACCCTAATAACAAGATGGTTAGGACACATGAAGATCAAACAAATAAACAGAACAAACAAACAAATAAATAAAATGTTTAGAAAGTTGACCAAACTTTGTCAAAGAGAGAATAAAAATTGCCTTACCGATTTTTAAATAAAATACCAATCATTTATCACATTATCACATATTACACTGTACCTCTAATTTTGCTATTTCTGTTGTTGCTCCAGAACCTCGCTTAACCATTTTACATTAAAAATAATAAGCAATCAAATCCCCATACACTACCTCTTATTTTGCTGTAGTTGTTCATACTCCAGAACCTCTCAAAACTCTTTCACACATAAAAAA